TATATATATATATATATATATATATAAAAGGTTTGATTCCTATATTGACACCCTCTTCAAATTTAATGAGATAGATGATCTCAACATAAAGTATATATATATCTAAAGTTATCTTAGATGATAAGATTTGATGACGATATAGACTGATTCTTCTCTGGAAAAAATGGTCTACTATATATTTGTTGAACAAATGACTTTAGCATGAATGACAAGACAATACTTATAAATGTCACCGGTATATTAATGGTGGCATAATTTAAGTAACAAATATAATGTTGTTATTTTCATAATCAAGGAGGGACTTTTACAATCCTTTTTCATATTTATAAGTAAACATCAAAGCTAGGATAACTCTCCCATCATGTTAGCAAGGGTATGATAATCAACACAAGCATTAAAATAAGCAACCTTTGGCCATTTCATACTATGTTGAAAATTTTGGTACTAATTTTGAGGTGATCATGGCAATAGTATCATAAATTGTGTAGATATAATTATCTTTCATGTCAAGAAAGGAACTTTTTATGTCAAGTTGTCATTATCTTGCAAAACAAGAACTTCTTCATGAACTCAATAACATATTTCATTTAGAACTACCAAACATGAGTTATGTGCCTCTATATATTTTATAAATTTTTGGATTTATAGCGCACATGAACAATGAGTCCTTATAATATAGATAATTTCAAATACTTGCCACTTAACAAATATATAGTACATGAGAAATAAGTTTTCTATTGCTATCATGAATGTTTATCCTCCTTCTTTTAGCTCTTAAATCAGTTGACTAAACATAATTCCTTAACTTAAGCCTCAACTAGATGATTTTTCTACTCTAACACATATTATTAAATATCTTGTTGCACTAAGGAAGAATTTTTTGCTATGAGCATTGCAAACATATTTGTTTCTCTCAAGTCATATTGAATATATGAATTATGGCCCTCCATATGCAATGCCATAACATATGTACACATATGTACTGTTAGATATGGCTCATATCTAGGGAGTTGGAGTTTCTTTTGAAGAGGTGTGTCTCCTGGTGAAAATGAGTGTCTCTTGGAATAAAGGGGGTTGGGAGGAGCGAGGGCGTGATTGTAATTTTATCTAAGAGTTTGTATATGTCTATTTATATGTGAAACCCTATGGGATGTATTTGAACTTCTCTGAAATAGTGAAATCGCCGCTCGCTCCCGAAGACGTAAGCAATTCTCTGCCGATTCTTAGGCAATTCTTTGCCGAACCTCGTTAAATCTCTGTGTTTTTCTTCTAGTTTGTGTCGATTCCTGTTTTATTCCGTTAAATTTCACAACAATTGGTATCAGAGCCTCTCGAGGGGAACAGGAGGAGATCGACGCAGAAGAAGATTTGAGAAGGAATTGCGAACTGTTTCACGGCATTTCGAAGTTCGCGGTTCGGGATTTCGGATAAGGAAGAAGAACTGCGCAGTGCGATATACGAGTTCGCGAGTTCACGCAGAGACACAGGAATCACGAGCGGAACAGGCAACGTTCGCGAGGGTTTTGCGAAAGATCAATTCGCGATCGCAAGGTTCCGAGTTTGCGGTTTTGACAGGAAGAGGAGTTTCTGCGCGGTTTCTGCGGTTTCGACAGGAAGAGGAGTTTCGGCGGTTTCGGGAGTTCGAGAGTTCGGAGTCCTCCAAACGAGTTCGCGACAGGGCTCTGCGAGAGGGTTCCGAGTTCGCCACAGGGAGTCTTCATCAGAGTTCTCCGCGTGCGACAGAGGCTGTTCCTCTGACGGTTCGGCATCGCGAGGAGACCGCAGGAGGAATTCTTCCGCCTGTGCGCCTGTGGTTGGGTTTCTTCCGGGCGCAACAGGCGAAGCATTCGGAAGGAGAAAGAGTCCGCGAAGGCGCTTCGGAAGGAGGTGACAAGCATCCGAGGTTTCTGCGGAGGAGTGCGATTGGCGGTTCGCGAACGGCGTTCGCTCGGTTGTTCGACGGTTCTCGCACGTCGTTCGCCTCTTGATTCGCGGGCAGGCGCGGACAGGAGTGAAGGTTTCTTCCGAGAGTTTTGCGACCGCGAAAAGACAGTTAGTGCAGAGGAGTTGGGCAGATACAACAATCCGTGGGAAACAGAGGCTGTCCACTGCGAACAAGAGCCTTGCTTTGTGTAAAATCTGAGGAATTCGACCAGTTAAATTCGCCGGTTTGTCGCAGGAGATTTTGCGACAGGTGGAGTTCGACAGGGTGCAGGAGGCGAGCAAACACGATTATTTCGTGAACAGGAGTTTCGTGGAGGTATTCCTCGA